AAATGATTCTTCTTAATTATTCTGCTACGTTTCTACGAGCTGCATGAACCCTTCGATTATGTTCATCATTATCGTCAGACTCCAGATGGCCGAAGATAGATTTAAAGTCCGGCTATCATCAGATAGAGGTTCATCCTGATGACCAATACTAAACAACATTCCACACTAGATATGAGCACTATATGTTTATAGTTATGCCCTTTGGACTAACCAATGCGCAAACGATTTTCCAGCGTTGCATGAACGACTTGCTTAGGCCGTGGTTAGATAGATTTGTTGTAATATATCTAGATGATATTCTAGTGTTCAGTAAGACCCTTCAGGAGCACGACGGCCATATGAGACAGGTCTTGGAGAAAATAGATTTGTTGTGGTATATCTAGATGATATTCTAGTGTTCAGTAAGACCCTCCAGGAGCACGACGGCCATATGAGACAGGTCTTGGATGAACTTAAAGAGAAGCTAACTTCAAGATCAACGCAAATAAGTGTGAATGGGCTAAGACACAGGTTTTGTACCTGGGCCACGTCTTAGACGGAGACGGCATTAGACCTGAAGATAATAAGATTGCAACGATTAGAGACTGGTCGACGCCCCGCACACTGACAGAGTTGCGGTCGTTCCTAGGCCTAGCTAATTACTATAGGAAGTTCGTCAAGAACTTCTCCACCATCGCTGCAACCCTTCGCAGGTTGCTAAAGAAAGAGGCAATCCGGAAGTGGGACAAGGACTGTACAGCTGCCCTGAAAAGATTAAAGCGGTCCTGACAGAATACCCAATCCTTAAGGTAGCTGATCCGTCCCTGCCTTTCGTTGACACTAACGCAAGTGAGTATGGCATAGGTGTTGTTTTGCAGCAAGATGATGGCAATGGATATAGGCCCGTAGGGTTCATCTCCGCCAGGATGCCTTCAGAGAAGGTGGCGATATCAACCTATGAGATATAACTTTACGCTCTCAGGCAAGCACTAGATCATTGGAAGCACTACTTGCTTGGGAGCCACTTCAAAGTCTATTCAAACCACGAGACTCTAAGGTGGCTGAAGACTCAGGCCAAAATGACACACAAGCTTACTAGGTGGGCGACAGAGTTAGACCAGTATGACTTTGAACTAAAGCCAGTTAAAGGGAAGTACAATGTAGTAGCGAACGCTCTGAGTAGAAGAGCTGATTACTTTGGGGCAATAGTTCACTATTTGGATATAGGGAGAGACCTGCAGCAGAAAGTTAGAGAGGCCTATGCACAAGACCCTATCTATAGTGATCTCCTCAAGAGAGTTAGGGAAGCCCCATAGTCTGAGCCAAACTACCACACTACTAATGGCTTATTATTCGAGAAGACTAATGTAATTGACCACCTGTACGTTCCCAACAGTGAAGAGATCCGTAGTTTGATCGTAGGGGAATGCCATGATACAGAGGGACACTTTGGTTGGCAAAAGACACTAGCAAACCTCATGTGCACGTACATTTGGCCTGGTATGAAGGCCGACTGCATAGAGTATGTCCACAACTGTAAAGTCTGTCAACGGAACAAGACTACTACGCGAGCCCCTCTTGGTCTTCTCAGACCCTTGCCTATTCCTGATAGACCCGGAGATTCTGTGTCCATTGACTTTATGGATACTCAGGTCAAGAGTAGGCATGGCAAAAGTCAAGTCATGGTCATAATCGATAGATTTAGCAAATATGCATTTTTTGTTCCTTTGCCTGCAGAGGCACGTACAGACTTGTAGTTCAAAAGTTTTTCGACATTCACTAGTCAGAACTGGCAGGAGCTGATGAACGTTCATGGCTCAAAGTTGCTGATGTCATCTGGTCGTTATCCTGAGACTAACGGCCAGACTGAACAGGTGAACAAGCTCCTGCAGCAAGTTCTTAGAATGTACATTAGGCCCGATCAGGTCAGCTGGGATGAGATGCTCCCAAAGGTAGCCAGTTCCTACAATAATAGCGTGCACTTATCTACGTGTCGCACTCCCAACGAACTGCGCGAGTCCTTTAGACCACGCAGACCGTTCGAGGGACTTAACCGGGATCAGATTCAGAGGCTACCACCCGGTACACGAGAGTTTGCGATACTGCACGAGAAAGAAATAGCTACCGTTGTTGACAACCGCAGGAAAGCCCAGCATAAATGATAGAGCAAGCTAACAAGCACCGTCGCCCCTCACAATTTCAAGTAGGTGACTTAGTCTGGGTCAAATCGAACGAATTTTCCCCTGAGGAAAACATCTCCGAAAAGTTGTTGCCTGTGTATAGAGGACCGTGGCCAATCCTAGAAGTCAAGGGTGGAGAAGATGGATCGTCCTATACTATTGAGATCCCGGCACACCTCCACACCTACCCAGTGTTCCATGCATCAAAGCTGTCACCTTGCGTCACAAGCCAACAGTTCCAACAGTTCCCATCACACAGATCTATGATTCCTCCAGATATGGATGGAAGATATGACATTGGAGGGATAGTAGGTGAGGATGTCTTCAGGAGAGGAGGTAGAGGTCGTCCCCAGAAACAGTACAAAGTCAGATTTGCCTATCAAGAGCCAGAAGACGACCGCTGGTTCATGCGAACCGAACTTCGGGAGACAGCTCCCGATATAATACGAGCCTACGAAAGAAATAAGAAGGGTAAAGGTCCTGCCTTAGACTGAAACATTCTCGGAGGACCTCAAATTTAGGACGGCGGGAGTGAAACAGTTTTCACCTTTCTGCAGTCACAGATGCGGGCCCTAGAGTTCGATCCCCAGATCTCACTTTGCCCATGTACAGTATCGAGTCGACACCCGAGTGTTTGAACCCCTGTTTTGGTAGTTGTTTGTCGCCTGTCGTAGGTCTGTGTAGTGGTAGGGGTTCGATCTGTAGGTCTGTCGAGTAGGAGTCCCAGCTTTGTAGCTGCTACAGTACCCGAAAGGCCAAGTCCACAGACTTCCGGAAGGTCCGGAAGTGGCCTTTCGAAGTGTCTCACGTTACTCAGAGGCAAGTGGGCAAGTGGTGAGCCCAACTGCACTACGGTGGCAGTGCGACTGCATCGAGTAGGCAGTGCAAACCCATGCAGTTGGCGGTACCGGTCCCAGTCAGTCAGTCCAGTCAAGCCAGTATCGTGTGGGACTGTGTACACCAAGGGCCTGAGAAAGGGGCAGACCAACGAGTTACAGAAGTATAAATCAAGAGGCAGCGCCCAGCCATTCATTCATTCGCTGTGTAAGCCATGCGGAAGCGCTGCTACAGCGTCTTGTGCGAAGGTGGTCTGCACGTTGCCCGAAGACGAAGTGGGCTGAAGGGAGATCGTAGCCATAGTCAGTAGTGGTAGTGCGGCCATAGCCGCTGTAGGAGGAAGTGAGATTAAGTGTGTGTGTGTGCTGGTATTCAGGGTGATCCAGAGTGAGCGTGTGTGAACAGTGGGGTTGGACACAGTGACGAAGGTTGGGATGTTCAGGCGCCGATGCGCCATAGCCTGTTGAAGAGAACTTGCATCTGAACTGTGTTCTTGATTTCCATATCTCTAAGCTTTGAGTGGGCGCCCTGCGCTGTGAATCTCCATCTGTTTGCATGTATGTGAAGTGGAAGTGAAAGCGAATCTGATTGCACTAGGGAAACAAAATGGGGAAACTACCAGTTGCACGGCGCCGTGGCCGTGCTGCTTCAACCCACCCCCTTAAAACAACCGATGCTCCGGCCCCAAGATTACCAGCCTGCTGCTGACCTGCAAAAAAAAAACGATGCGGCCCCTTAAAAAAAAAAAAAAAAAACCGGGCGATTCACTTTTTCTTTTTTCATGTTGCTGAGCCCGCCCCGAGCCCACGCCTTTCCAAAAGCAGGGTGGCAGAGTTTCGTGTTGGAGCATCACACGAGACGTGTGTTTTGCTCTATAAAAATATAAGAAATGACTAAATAGTAAATACAGTCACATACATATCAAATAAAAGAGTGCACTTTGCGAAACAAACGATAAAAATACAGAAGACTCACATTAAGAGCACACTGAAACCATTCTTGAGGCTCCGTATGCAGTCCTTCCTCTTCTTTCCTTACTGTGTGCCATAACGGCCGCCACTCGTACAGATTTTCCGGCCAATTTTTACAGGTATATAATGTGAAAAAGAGGCAGAGTAAAGGGGAGACGGTACAAAGTTCACAAACAGAGGGAAAAGATGGAAAGAAGACAAAGCAAAGGCCGACAAAGTGAATGAAGACAGGGGGAATTTAAGGGAAAGGAGTGTATAATGATGATGAGAGCATAGGAGCGGAGAAGAAAAGGCTTAGGAATCAGTCTGTCCTTGACAACAGAGAGGGCATTCAGTGTAGCGATGAGATGGATGAGGATATGGAAGACCTGGCTTAGCATTCTTAGTACATTAATTGCCAAGACGGCTAGTTTGTCAGCGACTCTGGAGAGAGGATATTCAATCACTTGTGGGCCAACAAGCAAAGAGGCATGCAACATTCCAGAATAGCAAAGCACATGGAAAACAATTGCTACATTCATGTGTGTGTTGCATTAGCATGTCCATGTGTGTGTCAGATGCATTGTGTACCGTCATCTCTGCATAATTGATAGCTTTGGGCAGAAGGGGAGAGCAAAAACAAAGTTAACGAGAGGGAGGACAAAGGAAGATCGCGTGCGTGCGTGCGTGCATGTGTGTGTGTGTGTGTGTGTGTGTGTGTGTGTGTGTGTGTGTGTGTGTGTGTGTGTGTGTGTGTGTG